TCCTATTGTCTGTCAAAATATTAAAAATCGAACGACTCTACCGTTTATAAATTCGGGAATGCTCACAATTTTTTCGCATCTAATATAAAGCATTCCGGAAATAAATTTTTTATTGTTATTTCTTGTAATATTATGACGCCGTCCTAAGCAAAGTGGCTGTAATGGATTTCATGTTCCAGTAATCGCAAAATGAGTCGAACTATTTTTACGTGATTTCAGTGTTCAGAAATCCTAGTTTTCAATTGTTTTCTGGCCAACGTATGATATCACAGCCAAGACACAAACTCTTGTAGACAACGTTATCGCAGAGCGATATGTATATAAATGATGTTTTAGATACTTCCAATAGTTAAAAAGAAAGACTGAAACATGAATAATTATCTGTTTCATTTGAAATTCAATGTTGTCGAAGAGATGAATTAAACGAATAACATAATTTTCTACGCATGATATACGCTATGTCATATGTGTTACAATTGTCGTACGACCGCGCGTGTATGATATCTCGGTAAGTACACACGAGAGCCATTAATTGCGATTGCATAATATTTACAATGGCGTTGTCTTGAATAGCGGCTCTATCTCATTCCCGTGAAGTTTCGCATATATTGCGTGGGATACTTACCAGAAAGTTACTCATTAGCAGCGTCGCCAGGCCTAATTTCGATAAAAAGATTTTTCTTTCTATATATTACTCTTCCCTTCCCCATTCCTTTCTTCCTTCAAGAGACACACAAGTAATGTAAAACAGTATGTATATACAAAATGTAATATAAAAAATATTTATGTAAAAAATATTTATGTAATGCAGACTTTATATTAAATTTTATATATCACATTTTATATAACAGAATTATAAAATTATTAAGTAATTGACGAGACAATGCACCATTAAATGATAATGCACCATAAGAACAATCGCGTGCAAAAATAATTGTATATCAAAAAGAAGATTTTATCTATTTTTTGCATACGTTCTGGTTGGAAACTTCTTTACGACGTGCATTCGCAAAACGAAATGAAAATTCATAAAGTTCAAACTTCGATCGTAAGTTTATTTGTTGTAATGCTGAATTGATCTCTACATTCGGAAAGCGTTTAGAAAAAGTGCTTTGAGCAAAACATCCGATACACATCATCACTATTTCTCATAGGTCGGATTTAGTTACTTTAATAATAGTAATATATCACAATAATTTACAATTGGCAGCCCTCGATAAACATGTAAAAAACTGCACGTAAAAAAATGTAGGTCTATAGGCAATTTTTTTCTAGCATTAGTTTCGCTCGAAGTTCGGGAAAGAAAAGCTATAAAAAAAAAAGGACACAAAGACCTAAAAGACCTTTTGGACAGAAGGGTTGTCGACGTCTTTTTACTATATATCGTTGCACTACATTGTATGTAACACGAAACTATGGTGGCGCTTAATATTACCGTGATTAATTTCTGTTATAGAAATTTAATATTGCAAATTTGAAACGGTTTTTTTACAATCCTTTAGTAAATCAAATTACCATAAAAATGTCCAATTTCTTTCCGCATTATGCATATATTTGTAATTTAGATGAATCCTGTAAGATACTCCAAATACTAAACAGTAGTTTTTATTATTTAAAATAAATAATTATTATTTTTAGTATTAAATTGGCCAATATTAAATTAATCAATATTAGGTTTCTGTAATGGTTGGTAACATGTGTATTTTGTATAAAAAGGCATTGCTTATGATGTCACGGAATGACATTACAAAAATAACGTCAGTATGCCGTCACAAAATGACATCAGTATCACGTCATAGAATAAAAACCTTATCACTTTTTGGTCACTTGATCATCATTTGTACAAACATGATTTGAATTTGACGTCAAAATGACGAACTTTGCTATCTGAGATATAGGCACAGCATAAATTATGTGCATATATTATACGAGTATATACTAAATTATGTTTATATATATTTGTTAAATTGTGTGAAATTAAACAAAGGAATTAACAAGACTCCTAATTTATAAAAAACAATATAAATTTGGACTAATGAGAATTAGACGCGAATTTTAATCCGTAGTACACAAATTATTAAAATTTATTCAAGACACAAAAAATTATTAATTTTTAATTTCAAATTTTTAATTCGTGTATCTTCAATAAATTTTATAATATTCATTAATTTGTTAATCTGGTAGTATAAAGAGAGTGTATAAGCTAGGACACACTAAGCATGAGCTATGTTCGTGTACGTAAATGTGTGTACCAGTTTATATTTTCTAAATGTTATTAGCAAATGGTGTTGTTTGGTATCTAATCATTTTGATATTTCTGACCTCGGAATCCGCTGTTCGAATAGTCCAAAGCAATCCGAGGCTGAGATTAAAATGTTAGTGGCGCCTCAGCTAGGAGAACTAACAAACTTCATTTCATCAGAATTCTATCGATATTACATTATTTAGTATAAATACTATCTTTCTGATAAAGAGGGAAGTTGATTTGATGGAAAATTATAAATATAAACAATTCTTTTTTTATTTAAATAAAACGTGGAATAAATTATTAAACATTTTTCTTATTTAACTGCAGGCAATTGTTTTTAAACAAAAGAGTAAAGACGTTCGGAGCTAATTAATGCAAAAGTAATTGTAAAAATATAATTTTTTAACAACGTGTGATATACGCAATAAAACATAATGAATAATTTAAAAATGATTTATTACACAGATTTGATAGAGTATTTATGTACAGATCATCAATAGTACATTTATAAATGAGGCCATTATATAAATAGACAATTATTAGATATCTTTCTTAATAATTTTCTAATAAAATAACATCGTAAAAGTTCGTAAAACATGATTCTACTACATGTTGTGTATCAAATTCAACTTTCATATACTATTTTTATATGATTAGATGTCTGTAATAGAAAACTGCAAACTCTTTCGCTGATCATAAAACTACTTTAAGTGTAAAAGAGCTTAATTTAATAGTTTGTTACAAATTTCATTATTATATTTATACGATATAAAGTACATTCTATTTACAATTGTTGATCAGTAGTCAGTAAAAAGTGATATAAATAAATAAGTGTATAAAATTTTGTATATAAAAGAGTAAACCTCGACTATAAATCTATTAAATTCATGCTGAATTTGTCATATTTTGTTAGCATTATGCTAAAAATATAATTAAAATAATATACAGTATGGTATATTCAAAATTTCTGTAAAATTGTTTTTCGTTCCTAAAATACTTGTTATGCAGACTTAATTTAGATACTTTTCAGATTCTATCATCATTATGTGTAACTATCTTTTTTAGCAATTATGATAAAAGTTGACTCTCCTTCTGCGTATAATTACCTTCTTTCAGATATCACATAATTTTTTACATTTATTTTTCGAATATTCGTCAAAGAAAAAGGAGTTCTGCTAGATATACGAAATTATAAATAAACATTATTTCTGTGTCATAAAGCACGATGATTATTGCACTTGGCTGTGCATAATAAAAAAGATTTAATATTGTGCGCTAATATGATATCATTTAGATTTTAATAATATCTATGAGCATTAAAAGGGACTTCTATATATGTTTTCCAGGGCAGTCTTTATACTCGCTTCATCGTACATTACCTAGTGGGAACCATTCAATAGTTTCGTTCGTCAAGTCGACATGTCCGAGTGGCAAACTTATACCACCGAGAAATTCATTCTCCTGTAAAGTATCATGATTCCATATCGTTGCTTCGAGCGTTCTTTCCTTGATCACTTCTAAAGGCATTCTATACTCCAACTAGTGTAAAAAATAGATTATTACTAAGCTTACTGTCTAATTAAGCAATTAATATACCTTTGTATTATATTTTTTATTTATCCATTTCCTAAGTGTTTATAATTTATAGTTTATTATAAAATCTGACTTTATTTACCATCTCCATGAATGATGGATGACAATTCTTCTTTACTACTTTCGTTTTTCGTTTTGTTGCCTTTGTAGGATCGGGCTTGAGGTATACCTTCACATACGTATTTGGCTCTTGAGCATTAGCCACTTTAGGGAGACCTCGTGCATGGCAAACCATGACAGATAAAGTGCCGCGAACATAATGAAGAGCCAATTTGATTTGACCATTTTGCATGTTATCTCTGACTCTTTTCTCAGCCCACCAATTATTTCCAACTGTTACATAAAAATGATATATTATATATTAGTCCATAAAAATAAATTATTTTCACATCAGTTGTATTTTTCAGAACATTATTATTTTAGAGATACTATTATTTATATATTTGTATTTTATTATTTTAATATTTTACTAAATAATTTAATTTATATATAATTTATTTATTATAAATAATTTAATTTTTGTTCAATTTATTATTAATATAAAATAAATGTATTATAAAATTTACTATTAATACAAATGTATAAATGTTATGCAGATTTATATTTCCGGAGCATATGATAAACAGCGTTTACAAATAATAATATTTATTTGGAAAATTTAAATGTACTAAAATATACCTTTGACTTTACGCAAACGAATGTCGGGATTCTTTTGGTCTCGTAATAGTGGATGAAAGAAAGTATATACCAGATCGCTTTGGGATATTTCCGGTGCCATTTTAAACAGACTCACGAGAAACTTTTCTATATCCGCACGTCGTTTATCGGCTACCTGTTTAATATTAGAACGTCCCACGCTAATTCCACTTGGTAAACTGTGAAACAAACAGAGAGGTTTGAGATTATTCTCGCAATGTGAATAAACAGGATGTTTCCATATTCATAAACATCGCTATTCGCGCCTCGAAGGATCAAGCTATCATTAGATACTATCGTAAATAAACAACATAACAGAGATCGTACAGGACATATGTTACAGTATGAGAGATACTGTATTGAGTAGTAGTCACATTGAGATCTCTTTGTACTGTAGTAAGAGAAAGAATGAATTTAAACTCAAGTGTTTTAATGTGAATAAAGTGTCATATTAATTAATGTATTCCTTTAACGTTTAATGAATTGTGTTACGCTCGCAAGTTAATTATTGTATGACTAAGACTGTTAGAGAGAGATATGAGATGTCAGACTTTAATATCAGATGATCTAAAGATAACGCATATCAAAAGGTATGACATTGTGGACGGAGAGTTTTTGCGTTTACGATATCTTCTTATATCTCATACGACTATTGTCTTCGGCCTGCGTCGCAAATTTGTGGCAGCATAATACACCATAATAGTTTCCACTTTTAAAGGTATTGTGATTTGCTCAACTAAACTTCGATCTGGCACATCTGTACTTTTTTGTCTAAAGTAAGCACGGATGATGATAGTTGGCTTAAAAATTTTATATTGTAAGTATAAATAATTTTTCTAATTGGAAGAAAATAATTATACCATTCTACATTGCACGTCATCTTGTATGAGCAAAATTAATATTGTAAGATAACAAAATAAAAAATATAATATACTTTTTAGGATACAATTTACGTTTCATAAATATACGTCATTCTCGAAAAAAAATCGCAATTTGTTAATATATCGTTTCTTTTCACAAGAGTGAGTAATTTTATATCATGTTTATATGATGCAATATCTTCATAATATTTACAAAGAGCTTGTAAAACATTTTTAATATTATCAATAACAATACGAAAATGTTCTATAGGTAATTTAAGAATTCGTTTAAAATTTGAAAATTTTCAATATAAATTAACTAATTTCCAGAAGTTTGATATTAAATTTTGGAAGAAAATGGGTCTGAAATGGTTTCGGGCAAGTCTATCGATGGAGAAAGAAGCGTCTAAAGTTCCAGCAATGACGGGCTTATATCGGAGAATTTCATTCGAGCCGGCAATTCAAAAAAATGTGGAAGTTTCATTGACAACTGCGCCTCTCTTAATCGTAAGTGATTCAACGTCAAGTGGCGATAACGAAACAGTGAAAAATGATCGCTCAAGAGCAGATCTTACAAATCAAACATCATCGTCAATTATTGATTCGGAAAAAATCACAGTAAAAGACATTGACAACAAATCACAGATAAATAATCATTCGGTTGAAAATACAGAGTCTTCTACTTTCACCAAAGATTCAAATGTAAAAGAGGAATCGGCACGTGGCGAGGAATTACATAAGATAACTAAAGATCAGAATATGTCAGATACAAAAAGTCCTATCTATTCAGATAACGAGCTAGTGATCTAATAAGGGGAAAATGTTAAATAATGCATGCATATACAAACGTTTAGCATGAAAAAGGGATACTCTTGTCTCGATACGGCATCTCTACTTTACTGTCTTATACCTTTTTATATATACTACATATATATATACGTTTGTTCGCATTTATTATTTATACACTATATTTGAAATTGAAATATAGTTTAATTGTATAGAATATAATTACATATGCATTATATGTTATAATCTCATATATTTATATAAAATATTTTAGTATATACACACAGCACATTTTATCCAAGGGACATCCTGAAAACATCCTTAACATTGGATGTTTTCAGAGACATTCCTTGGAAGTCAGTGCTGTATAGGTAAGAAAATGTTAATATTTAGCTTTTGCATTAGAATGAATGTATGTATAAGATTATAATAATCTTACAATATTTATATTAAACAATGTAGAAGATAAAAATAAAAATAGGAATTTTTAAAAAAAAGAATATGTGATTAATATAAAATGTTTACCTGGTTACTTTAGCAAGTGGAAAATGTATGCATAATTTCTGATAGAATTCGCAAAACTCTTTGTATGATCGGAATAGATATGTTGGATCCGGTTGGCCCTTCCGTTGTATTCGTAAAATGTACATGTAATATTTCTCTGGATCATAGCGTTTTTGATATCCATGAACTTGGACGCTTGTTAATTCACCTTCTTGCTGCATTCTATAATAATTATTAAAAAAATATATTAATATATCACCTGTTATCCGGAAAAATCAAGCCAAATCTTTTAAGATTTTCGATTTTTTGAAACGTTATATTTTTACTTATAACGTTTAGTAAAAGACTCACGTGTACGTGCGCGGAATAAAGGATAGTAATTCCCCCTCACTGTGATCTCCAGAGAATCTCATCTGCGCCAGATTATGCAAGAAAAAGTTAAATTGCGTAAACCAGCTTTTCAGTGAACTTTCTATCATACGAGCGAAAGTCGCCGCTGCTTCGGGATTTGTTTGTCCAGGAAGCAGTGCTTTCTGAACGTAACTAACTGCGTCCACGGTCACCCCAGGAATACCGGATGAAGTCATCTGCGAAGTTGTATACTCGTTCATTCTCGCCTTGTTTAAATGATCTTTTATTTCGATATCGTGCAACTTTCGCGCTATGATACTTTGTTTGTGCAAATCACTGAGAAGATTCTTTTGTAATATTAAATTATCCATTGTGATCTATTCGTAAAATATTAGAAAATAATATATCTATTTTTTTGTTGTGATCTTTGTGTAAATGCTCTCCGTTGTACACAACAATCCTGAATTTCCTTTTTTTTTCACTTCTAACACTTTACTCTTAACATGATTGACTCAGACTGCTGCATCATACGATATTATGAGCGCGGGCGATAAATACTAATTAACTACATCGCATATAGTTTAGTGAGATAGCGGTCCGCTTTCTGATAAAACACACGGATATGTTCTTCCGTTGTGGTTTTATTGTTTTCATAGCGGTGTGGTTGACCACATAACTTACAAAATTCTTTATTTCAAATATATTCGGTCTAATTGTTTGCATAATTCATATAAAATGCGTTTGTATTTATTACAATAATTAATTCAAAACATATCAGCTCATTACATTGAAAACATCTTTCCAAAATAATTCACTTAAATTACTTAAATTTGAACTATTCTTTTAAATTCATCTACTTCAACTATAAAATTTGAAAATATTAATATATATATATATATATATATATATCAGAAAATAAATTTATCGGAAACTGAAAGAAATTAACACACGATTCTAATAATTTATTATCATATTTTGCATAAAAACTATAGAAAGATATAACTTTTATTTTAAAAAGTATAAGTATGAGATGTGTAAATGCTTTTATTATATATTTTATTAGAAATTGTTAAAATCATTAAGTGCATCACATAATTACATAATAATTACTTTCCTCTAAGCTTAAAAATATTTTAGAACATACCAATCCAAAAAGATGAAGAATAAGATTTCCATGTTTTCGCACTATATTAAAAGCTTGACAGCATAAATCGACGAAATGATGAAATTTCGCTGAAGGTTTATCACCACCATTTATAACATATGCCATATCAGACGTCAATACAAATGGCGTTCTATCTCTGATTAAAAACATAATACGAAGTATACATTGTATCAAGATTACATTTTTTCTTTTTTATTCTTTTCAAATATAGTACATAGTATAAGTGCAGAAATATAAATAAAACGTAACGTTACGATATATACATACCTCTTGAAGTTTCCAAACATTTGCGCGTCACCAAGAAATTTTCCAAAATCAATATGAAATAAATGACCAGATGTCTTTAGCATAATATTGTCATTATGCCTATCACAAATTCCTAAAATATAAGTGGCAACGCTGTAGCCAGCGCAAGAAGCAGTAAAATTATCCACCGCTCTTTCATATTCCAGTTCCGAAGGATTATGCTTTGCTAGCCACTCTGCGATTGGTCGATCCTTAAATGATCCTGTTAGTCCAAACTCGACTTGGATCTTCCGTAACGTTTCTGCATTCGTTACCATTTCTATCATTCCGCGTTTGTGGCCGGTGGGCACACAAGCAAAAGTAACCATTTTTAAATCAAGACCTTCCTTTAACCACAATTTGTCCATAATGCGCACCATCTGGAGGGTCAACATATCCTGCTGCAAATCATCGCCAACCTAGAAAAAAATACGATGTGTGTATTAATATCAAAGTTTTGGAAGAAAATAATGTTTTGCAGGATATTTCTACAAATTACTCATTGAAAATGTACCTTGAATATCGCCGGGTTTATAACATTGTCACAACTGATAAAGTTAATTTTTAATGGAAGAGTGAACGATGGAAAATAGGCACATGTCTGTACATTGATACCGAATACTAATTTACTAGGAGATAGTGGTAAACATGTTCCATCGTCTTCTTTTAAGTGGCAGTGTATTTCTTGTAAACCAGTTTTAAGTGTATCCATTCGTAAAGATTCCTTTGTAACTTTAATATTTTCAGCCACTTGATGCAGGTTCTGTACAAATTACAACTTAAAGTATATTGGAAATAAGTAAGATTATTTGTGTGAAGTAAACAAGATATAAAAGTTAAGACCTACTTTAACTAGCAATTGTTGAGTGAGAAAACTGTTTCTCAGCGCATCTCCGATAACTGCTAATAGCGCTCTCAACATTAATTGCAATCTTCGTTGATAACGAGCACAACTAATTGCTTTGTCATCTTCTGTTGAGATTTCAGCAGAATTCTACAAAATAAATGCGCTTTATAATTTAATATAGAAAAGTTCAAATAACATTTTAGCGACATATTAATATTACTAATACATATCGCATGAAGAAATTCTCTATGTTTTAATTATACAGTTATAAAAAACATTATTTTTCATTTACAAGCCATATATAGTAAGTATTTAATACAAATGCATAAGTATTTAATAACGTCACCAATGCTGATCACCCAACCTGTACCTGGGGACTTTGTCCCGGCAGAGCTTGATTTAGCAACCAATAAATATAATGAGCCACTCTTGGTGAAAGTAAGGCACGTTCTAATAAGAATCGAGTTAGAGGTGATGCTTCATATGTCTCATGTTTTATTGCTTGAAGTAATTGCGGTAGATAATCGACCAATTCATCATTATTTAACTCGCGGATCCAATCAACTGCCATCTCTCTAACTTTCATATCTGGGAAACTGTAAGAAAACACGACGTTTTACAAAACGGTTCTTTAGAAGCTGTAATAAAGAAATAATCGATAAGTAGTGCATACCATGGTAAAAGTAATTGTAATGCTTGTACTGGAGGCAGTGGACTCCAAATTCTAAGCGACGCGTGTAAATCCGGTAGACAAGCCCAATCCCAACTGTGTGCAGCTAGTAATACTTTTGGTAAAGCTTCAGGTCTATCGTGTAAATAATGTCTTTTCTCCCATAAGATTTCTCTTTCATCGATAGGCGGTCTGGAAATAGAAATCAGCTTTTAAAAAATACCATTTTGAAAACAAATCTAGATTTTTAAGCACATAATTACAACATACCTCGAAAATGTATCTTGCTGTGTAATGTCTATTAATAGCTCTTGCGTATTTTGATCTAATGAATTAAAATCTAACGATTCCACGTCATAATCTCGCAATTCCGAAGAATTGGGGAATAAAACCTTTCCCCCGTAATCGGGTAATTCTAGTCCTATAATGGGATGAGTATCGCCGCGGGGATGAATTCCAGGCGCTGGCGCTGGACCTAATCGTTTGTCTGCGATAGCTGGCCAAAGAGACAGAAAAAAACTTCCTTGGCTCATAACGCTAGAATTAAAATAAAGATATATAAAGGTATATGTATGGAGCAACGAAAAAGGCGATTATAAAAGTTTTAAAGATAAAAAGTTGAATGCAAAGAACAATTTGTGGCAGACGCTTCATTTACCCGTCATAATCAAAGAATTGTATAGCACCCCATCCAAGTTCTTCTTTCTGCATTGCGTTCTCTGCAGACGAATTAGATTCGTGCTCCGCAGGTTGCAATGTACGTCCATAAAGAACTACCACAAGTCTCGCCTCCCGTGGTACTTGACACACACTTACTCCACGAAATTCCAACCTTATAATTTGTATAATTTTTATTAAATCTACATTTGGAATTTTCGATCATTGTAAGTGCATTGTCGTACTTACCATGAATTAAATAAAATTCTTGGATAAAAATTCGTGCTAACCGTCATTGGTTCCGACAAAACTGGATTTCCTACAGGTCTGGTTCCATGAAAGATTTGAGCTGCCACTATATAATCATCATGTTTCCATGTGGTTGGTAGTCTATGCAGAGCTCCAATACGCACCAAAATAGTATCGATTACTTCTGTCGCAATCAGTGTATCTATTAAGAAAAAGTATATCATGATTATATCATAATTTTATCTTATAAAAAATAATATTGCGTTAGAAAATTAATGTAACTTCTTACTTGTCGGAAATTCTCCTTTACTATTCAATTGAAAGTCGACCTTAAATGCATGGCAGTACGTTTCGACGAGTTCTTGAA